TTGTATACAAGTGCATTGCATACACAATGCCTACTTGACTCAGGGTGTTAGGAAACAAACTAGACACAAACAAGGGTAATAACAACGGCAGTCGAAAAATGATGGTGCCCGATGGAAATTGTTACGTGTCAACAATAATAACAGATAATAATAATCCCTGTGGAGTAGAGCTGATTATATGTTTAAAACCATTTCTATAGAGCAAAACTATATATAAATGCACTGATTATTGTAATTTGTATATGTTATAATGTGGAAATACTCACATTACCTTAAAGATAGCAGTCATGAGATTCATCCTCCAAAGCAAGAAACAGGAAAAAACAGGGTGTAAAGGTCCTGAATGATTTTTATCTAATCTCCAATCCCTCTACTCCTGTGGCCAGACATTTAATATGATGAATGATGAGTGTGCGCTACACAGTTAAAGAGGAGCTGTCTTTGAGGAAGACACACCTTTATGACTATTTCAGATAACCTCACCTTGACCCAAAGTAAAACTAAATTTGCCTGACGCTCCAAAAATAACCCAGAGTTTGTGCTAAAGTTCCTCCTGTGCTATTCTGTCTGGCTTGTGGCCTTTTGTTTTCTAACCAAATCATGGGCAAAGAAACAGGAACAACATAGCCTGTATCTATGTTCAGCATGCAAATACTTATCCTGAAGCTGCAGAACCCTAGCATCAGAAAACTCCACAGGACAACTGACAGCAGATAACATAGGCCACACTGAAGCACCTTGGCTCCTCTAAATATTTTGTCCGTCATTTGCTTCAATGTTAAGCATTTTTCTGAGCGTAGAAAACAAACAGTAAGAGTAAGAGTGACAGCACTGTGTACCGAACATCCCACTGAAAAGAACAAGCCCCTGCCTGCTCTGTTAGTAACACACGGCTGCTCCGGCTTGATTCACACTGACTCATGTATCAAAACAATGAATCACATCATCGACTTGCGATATCCCTTCAGACACTAAAGCTTGATCATAACTGCAACTGCAGAACCAGGAAACTGTAAAACATTGGTAATTTCAGTGCTCAGATTCATCACGTTGAGTCATCTGGGAGGATCATGGGGGAAGAAATTGTTTCCTGGGTGCCCGGCACTGTTTCATACATTACTATAATCCCCTTTGGGCACAGTTGCTGGTAATTTGTGATTCACTTACACCAACTTCAGTCTCCTCAGTAAAGTTTACAGCTGTTCTTACAACATACCCCTTATCTTCCTTGACAAAAAACATAGTCAAAGCACATTCTTGCCGTCACATTCTTTCACCTGTTTTCTTCACAGTGCTAGCACAGAGTAACTATTTGGTGGAGATTCCCACTGGCCGTAAAGAGAACTTTCACCTCCCACATTAAAGCATGTAACAAGGTGGAAAATCTTAGTTCCTAATTGGCTGATTAGTATGTGCACTCACAAGGAAGGGAAAAAGAAAACAACTTCAAACCGGCTCTTGAGGCGACTGCTAATCTGCTAACTCTTTCAGAGCCAAGGGCAACGTGTGTGACCCCCTTTTTCCTGGGGGGATAAAGAGAGAATCATGTTTTGCAGTACATCTCAATAAAGCCCTTCCGCCCCTCAAGATCCACTCTGAACTTCCATCTTCAACACCGCTCCACAACCACTGGCACTCCTTCCCCAGTTGCTGTTGGGAGACATGGAGGTAGCTTTGCACTGATCCCCTTGGGAAAAACTCCTCCCTACCTGGCAACGGTGAATGACTGCCCCTCAGGAGGGCAGGAGGGCAGGAGGCACAGGCATAAAGGGTGCCTCCGGGGATTAAGCCCCCAGTCTTCACAGACCATTATCAAACAGCATGAGTCAGAACACTGGAGATTAGACACCGAGACCAATGGCCTGGATTGATTTCTTATCCCTTGATGGAGGGAAGAATTTAGGTCACAAATTTAAACTGTCCTTCATATGTGCAAGATGGTTTGATTCACACCAGTCTTTGTCGTCACAAGGAGTTTTTAATGCTGCGTTAATAATTAGCCTGAAGGTCGGCAAATAAACCGCCGTGGTCAACAGAGGCTGAGTACACACTCACAAACTGAACCTGCATTCCACACAGACGGTCAAGGTCGAAACGTTTTGCTGGGAGGTTTTGGGGGAATTCTGGTGCTTAAAAGTGAAACTAACTTTTGTTAGATTTTTACATGCTTGTAAATACAGGATGGGAGAAAGGACAGTGTCACTTCACCAGCATTGAAGGGTGACATGTTTCAGAGAGGAAAGTATCAAAATGACAAAACTCTTCAAAAAGCTAATTTAATCTTTTAAACCTCCCCTGTGCTATTAAAGGATCCAGCTGTGCCAGCTAACCTCAGTGCATAGGCATGTGATGATCCAATTAGGAATCTCCTCCATCAACAGGCCCCCCCTCTAAGAGCCCTTCAGGCACTAGCACACACAGCTTTGGATCAATTCAAAACTCACATTTCCTCTGGACATGACACACCATCTGGGCCCTGAGGTGTGAGTCCATTGTAAACTTTACCACCCATTTGATAGTCTACAACCAAACTGCTGTCCTGTTAGCGCCTCTCTGCAGAATCGCCACAGGCTGGTTGTAGGACAGCTGTGTTTAGTGTGGAGGGGAGAAGGTTAGGGAGGGGCACTTCATTTACGTCACACCAAGCCGTTTAGCACATGCGGCGTGATAAAGGGTGCGATGTGGTTTATCCTCTAGACCTTAATTACACTTATTGTACACAGCAGTCAAATGAGGAATTTGACAGCTTGCTTTGGCACTTACTTACTTCTCTTTTGTGTACTTTACTAAACACAGAACAAATGTGTTTATTAGATAAATCATACTTCACAATAACATCTAATTAACATTTCTAAGCCATTATTGTGTTTACTGTCTTCTGTGTCACTAAAATATTCTAAACACACTGCATGCCTGATTACAGAACACCGACTGAATGTTAAGTGTTTTGGAGGAAGCTGATAAAGAGTTTTATTGATTCAAATGAGTTTCTAAGAGGCCATCTAACAGGAACACCCAAAGCAGGGCGCCTGTAACTAATGTGGGTAATCCACCGGAAGAGCTCTATAGGAGGAATGCCATTGTAGGAGGCAGTAAAATAATTTACATTGAAATAAATTCTTTTGTGAGCAGTACGTGAAGCTGACCCAAACAATAAAATGAAATATAGTGAATGTGCAATTCTATCGCAATAGTAGCTATGTTATATAATGATTTATCTAAGGGTATGCAACTCTTGTAAGATGTTGTGCACGTACAGGATAAGGGGCTGTCAGGAGTTTCAGTGAGTGTGGGTGCGTGGCGTGAACTTTGCTGAGCAGGAGTTGCTCCAAGCTCACCTGAGGCTGCCTCTGTCCAGGAGCTCCACTGACGAGCTCACTCGGACACACAGCCATCCCCTGCCATCATATATCTACGCCCACTGGTCTGGAAAAGCTGCAGTGAATGGAGATGATCCGTCCGTCCCCCCCAAAACCCCTTTAAAGCTGTACATTCTGCACACACAGCTACATTCCTGCCTGGGGTTAAGTAGGTCAGAGGGAACCCTTATCTTTGAAAGAGATGCTTCGTGCTGCCTCAGGTCTGTTGAAGCCTGGCTGAGCCACTGTCACTGGATTGACAGCATGTACATTTGCTTTTTAACCTGATATATTTCAAATGTGGTATACAAGGATTATAATCATGCTGGTTAAAAAATTTTAATTATGAGGGGTCTTATGTAGGTTCCACCCACCCCACCCAGTTCTTCTGGAAAAGGGAATTCAGAGTGCAGAAAATCAAAAAAACCCTTTCAACAGCTGAAAAGAACATCTGGCTACATCTTGGAGCAGAGTTGAAATATTTTCCTTTATGCTGGTTTTGTCCAATGATGCGGGGTGCCACAGCCTGTTACTGGTGAAAAAGGATCAACACAGCTTCTTTTCACTTCAAAACTGGTTTGTCATCACAACCTTTTTATTGTTCACCCCAGCCAGACAGGGGGGCTTCCTTTCACCATGAGCATTCCTCCTACCTGTAAACCACATACAATCATCACCTCACACACAGATAATGCATTACCAGCAGCCCTACCCCTTAATTACCATCCATCCGTCCGCAGCAGGAGAGCTCGGCCAGTCACACTTTAACTCCAACTGGCCCGCAAACAAAATCAGTCTGAAAATGTTTCAATTGCAAGTGGGTGTTCTGTCATGCCAAGGTGACTTCGTAGTGGACATCTGAGCCGCAAAATGAGCTGTGGGAACGTGTAGTCGGTGCAGAGTGGCCTTTTGAGGAAATAGAGACACAAATATTCATGAGGGCGGCACACGTCTCCCCCAGCCAAAAGCCTCCTCTGGCCAAAGCTGAACCAAAGGGACAGGCGCAGAGGAAAAAGGGAACCATTGACACACTGGTATTCTTCAGCCAAAGTGGAAGCCCAGCGCCAAATGTGTTCAGTAGAGAAGAGAGGAGGCGTGGGGGCGGTGGAAGGGGGGGGTTGAGGGACAGAGCAGGCAAACAGATACAAAGAGGCCTTGTGTTAATGCTGTGGCTCTGTGACTGAAGATAATGAACACTAAAATAATATGTAATTTGAGTGGCCCCCAGCATACAAGGTCAGTACCGCTGGCTACACCAACCATCTTGGCTGTCGGGGACTCGGACGCGTTCTGGTTTGATGTGCGAGTGTTCGGGGGGTTTCGGCTGTATGAAAGGGGTTTGACCAAGCTCCACAGACACACAAAGGGCCTCTCTGCCAGTCTGGACTGTAGGAGGGAAGTTCATTTCTCTCTCAGCTCTGCCTCTCAAAGCCTCGACATTTCCTCTATTCTCCATTTCAAGCATTTTTCCATTCACGTCTGCTGTACTTCTGTGTTATGTTAGTACACTGTCCTGGGTGAGCAGATAGACCCATTAGGAAAAACCCAACTTATTGAAACTCCTTGTTATAAGACTGGTCAATTCATAGGCAGCAATTACCAGGGCATGGGTCGTACTGAATATAATTGCATTGATCTTACCTTCCCCCATTGGGCCCTGGTGGAGAACAGAATGGGACCCCTCTGGCATGGCACTCAGGCCTCTGGAGCTGACAAAACAAAACATGAAGGGTCAAACAGAATCCAGGCACTTAGTGTCAGGGCTTACGGTACATACAGCATGGCAATGACCATCATTTCTGGTGGGCTCTCATTAAAAAACATCACATCTTTACTTAATGTTAAGTTCTTCTTCTTTGGTTAAGTAAGCCATGCTTTCTTTACTGGCCTAGCTCACAGAAGGCAAACAAGCTTCAGTCTATTCAGGTCTTATATAAAAAAGGAAATTCCTCCCATTCCCCTGCTCGCTGCTCTGCGTTGGCTCATGCCAGCCACTTGCTAATATATAGCAAAGCCGGGCCTGAGGTATGCACAGTAGAGGAAACTGTGATATAAGCTCATGCTAATCACTAGAGAAAGGGCAGGAGGGGGTTGGAGTGAAATCAGTCTAACTTAACATGAATGTAAACTCAAGAGATTTAGCAGCTCCAATGTAAATGTTAAAGGATTTGCCATTTGAGCTATATAACGCCTTCTAAATAAAATGACTGGCATAAGAAACAGCTAAACCCAACAAAAACAAATACATTTTATATAAACTCATCTTGTTTTCATTAATGTGTTTAGTAAGTGTTACAAATACATCCATGTCTCATCAAAACAAGTTATCTCATTATCAGTGTAACTGTCCCGTGGGATTACAGGTTCACCCCTGGTGGCATGTATTTTTCTAATCCCTCATGCCAGGCTGCAGTGTTGTTAATGATGAGGTGTGTCCCTTTCGGAGCCACTGTGCTGCCAGTTTCTCACATCACTGCCTCTCTAGCTCCTTACAGCAAATTAACATGGAAGACTGTGCATGAGAACTTGTCTCCCTGTGATTCCTGGTGAGCCTCCGGCCTTTTAAACATCACATTCTTGGGCCAGCTAGATCAGAGGAGCAGGAATTCTTCAGGGATTAGGATGGGCATTGTTCCTAGTGCGTTTGCTGGCCACTGTGCCGAGCTGACAGCCAGGCCAGCCGAGGCCAGAGCGAGCCCACTGCCAGGAGGTTCGCCAATTAAGATGTGCAGGAATGCAAGAAGAAAAGTCACAGAGCTAGATCCACACATTAAGATCACTGCTTCACTGTAGCGTCCCTGCAGCTGCAGCCTGACCTGAAGTAGAGCTTGTTTACTGGACAAGAAAAAATCATAAAACTATTATTATATCATTTGTGTGTAATAGAGGAAGCATGATATAAATGAAATGTAGGTCCTTTTTGGGAGCCAACTATGTTTGACTTGTTTACTGAAAAGATACCCTGTGGGCTTTTTGACCATTAGTAGAACTGCAGAGCACTGTTTTTACAAGTAGGTCCTCGTCTGTTTGTGTTTCATGCACACCCACGAGGGCACACATGCAAGCCTGTGGACGCACTAAATACACTGGACACACATTTATTTCTGTTGTTTCATGATATTCCACTGATTTACAACTGGCAGCAGTAACAGAAACAGAAGTGTTTCAAATGTTTTATGAGGAAGGAACCCAATTTAGCTTCCTAGGTAAAGACAATGCAATTCGGTGAAATTACCTCCACAGGGTAGCTTTCATGCAACTGTAATGAACATATTCAGATTAGATAGATAGACCTGCAGGAGTAGTATTCATGTCAAGGGGCAGGCTTTGAACTTGTCTTAGTAAACAGTGAACTAAAAAAACCCTCTGATAATCCCACCTACCTTGACCTATGAGCTAACCCCACTTAATGACCAGACCAAAACTATGCTAATCTGTCTTTGGTCAATGAGAGGCTAGATTAGGAAGAAAAGGCTCACAACTTGGATACACTATAGACGTCTGGGTCTTAAAGGTTTTTTTTCTCCAATGTCTCACCAAAGGCTTTCAGTATGTGTAGAAAATAGTTTGGGGCGGAGAAAGTGAAAACGTTTGATAATGTCCAGCGGTACTTGGTAAGGCAGTGTAACCCACAATCTTAACACATCTGGACAGAACAATCGTAACTCATTAACTTTCATCTCCTGTTTGCTGACATATGGTGATTCCAAATCCTTGTTTTCCTAGGGAGGGGGCATGACCAAATCTCAAATCCTAAAGAAAACACTTCATACAGACCAACATTGATGCCAAGCTGGCCACCTGTGCTTGAACTAGCTGCCATTTCACACAAATGGAGAGCATTTGGTTCCCACAGCTGATGACTGAATTACCCGCAGCATGAACCTCCCGCATGGGAATCTGGAACTTGCCCCTTAATTGAAGACAGATGCTACAAGAGCCAATCTGATGGTTATTAAAAGAAAGACCTGCAATGGATCACTTCTTCAGATGGGCTGATAAACGTCCTTGTTCCTCTAATCGCCAGGCTTTACACTGATCCAGGCACTCAGAGCCTGAATTCCTTTCTTTAAAACACAACAAACAGATGATTAAGGGGGACAGATGCTGGCAAGATACAGCGCTCGTGCAAATACGGAGAAAATGTGTTAAAAGTCACACTCTGAGATAATTATGCACAGACAAACATATACCTTGAAGTGAAACCACTGGACATGTCTACAGAGGAAGCCAAAGGAAAAACAAGAAAACCAATTTCTCTCGGGGGGGGGGGCGTGCCACTTTCTCTGTCTCTTCATGAAGAGTTACAGACATTTGATACTTAACCCAAAAAAAATAAAGAAATAGAAGCTTTATTGGATGCCAAGATCGCTGCCAATTAATGGGCTGCATTTAAATCCTGGTGTGTTATTCTAACAGGGCAGTCGCCAAAGAAAATACCCATCTACCAAATGCCCTACTGCCCACTGATGATGCTCCCAACCGATCACATACAGACTGGATCCAGCGTCTGAAGTCAAAAAGAGAACCTAATCAGCCTTTTGTGCCACAATTAACCAAACAAATTGGGCTTTCTTCATGCACAACAAGTTGATAGGAGGGGAAACTAAAAATAGTCCAGAGAATTCCTGCGGCACTTCTCTCTCACAGTCGGAGACCTACCGCATCACGTTGCACTCACTGTCTGCCCCGACGAGGCCCGCGGGGATCTAAAAGTATGACATAAGGCTCCTGGGATGTCTCAGACACGGTGGTGCGGATTTCTTTAAGACGCCATCGGTCAGGACGGATGTTTACGTTCAGAACAAATAAAAAATCCAACCTGGCGTGGCAGGCAGGGGTCCTACAGGGCTAACTGAGACAGAGAGTCTTTATTATTTTAGCACTGGTGCCATGTTTATCTTGCAAGACCTCTCTCTCACCCTCTAACCCGGCAGAAAATATCCCCTGACAAACCGCCTTTCTGTGAGTGCCCTCTTTCCCACATTACTCCTGCAGTTTGTCTCCTGACACACGGGCCTTTAGAGACGAACAGCTTTTCATTCAGCGGGGAAAACAATAAAGCCTTGCGCTCTCTCTTCGTCTCAATCAAATCCACGGCTTCCACAAAAGCGCTGTGTGAACCCATGACTTCCCACAGACACCCAGCATATGAGCCTCTTATTTCAGTCCACTGCCGTTTTGAGCGTGCTGCTTAGATGTGGCGATAAGTGATCCACCCCAATGAACACCCACAGGGCACTGTGAGGAGTTGTGTCCATATGGTGCACGTACACTCCAGCCAAAATAGCCCTTAATGGGAGAATAATCATTCCATGCTGTGCTGAAAAAGAGAAATAGCAATTTTCACTTCCTCATCAATGGCCTATAACCACAGAATGCATACCTGGCAAAAGAAGTTGGCAAATGCCATCTCAGTTGGCAAAAGACAAGTGAAGACTTCCAGTTATTTAACATTATAGATTGCAGAGAACCAGCAGTTGGATGAGCAGTCCTACATAATGTCCTACAGCGTTTGGAGGGGAGAGTAGAGGGCTGCTGGGTAAAATTACACATCAACCCCTCAAATAGAAATTGGAGTGTGCCCATTTAAAGGTGCATTACACCACATCTGCAGGCAAACAGCTCCCTCGTGTCTTCATAACAACAAAAACACGGAGTCAGACCTCCCTTGGGTGTCTAGAATGCTAAATCACGTATGGCCCCGTCACACACTCTTAACTTTGTACCAAACAAAAAGTTGTCAGGTCTTGTTTAAAGCTGACCTTTAACTCTCACAGTGCAGTCCTAACTGTAGATGGCAAAAGCAGGAACTTTACGGCCCCGTGAGATCCAGGTCTATCCCAGGCAGCATCAAGTAAGCACAGAACCACTAAATAACAAAGCAGGTGATTTATGAAAAGCCCAGACGCCGGTTTTTAAAGTTATATGGTCTCCATAGATGAAACCACCCTTGCTTTCTGCAGCTGTGGTAATTTTATCACAGCTGCAGCATACCAAGACTCGGGAAGCAGGAATAAAGTGCCAACTCTGAGATCCAAGATACACTTGGGCAGTTTCCTGTCTGGACCACCTGGAAGAGAGCGCTGTTTATTGCATTGAGGCAACATTTATCTGAAATGAAGTTGAGACGTTATTGTCTGAAAGGTCAAGTGAGGTCAAAGGAGTAGAAAATGGAACGTTTCACTGGTAACTGATTGATTTGGTCCCATTCTTCTTCAACAGCTGGTGGGGAAAGTCATTGACCTATGAAGAGCCTCGCATTTAAAACCACACTGGGGTGCTCATTAGAAAAAAACAATTAGGTTTGTGGGGACAAAGTGCGGGCACCATAGGGGGTGGGAATGGGATGCAGGGAAAGAGGAAATGGCAAATGATTCAACAGCAGCATGGAGTTTAGTTTGTCTCACAAGTCAAGTGTGACATCAGTGCTTAAGGGAAAAATCATCCCCCTAAAAAAAAAAAAAAAATGCTCCAGCAGCTGATCAAAGTTCACTCAACTGAGAGTGTTTTGTTTCAAAGACAAACATTTCTTATCTGACTGAAACTCCTGCACCCTCCGGGGCTTATAGCTTGGAGGTTGTGCAATTATAAAAAAATGCACCTAAAAACTGAAATGTTGAGCAATATCTGCAAGTAATGCAGCGTGAAAGGCGGAGGAGCTCATCATAAAGAATGAGTGCAAGTGTCTTACATGGGTACATTACTCCAAAGAACTGAATTCATGAGCAGAAATATTCACACTCTGTGGCACTTTAATTAACTACTGTTATCATGTGTTTTAGTGAAATTGGGCAGTAGTAAACTGTAACTGTAGTAAATCCTTTATTCGTTTTTTTAACAACTCAAGAAGCTCCTGACAAAGCAAATTAAATGTTTTTAACATCCCTCAAACACACACACACTTGCAATATCGACATAATAACCACAGGATATAAACCATTTCCACATGTTAGGTTAACTTAGCTTAACTGTTATCTTCGCTAACTTCAAGGTAGACTTAACGTTAAAGTTGTCAAAAAGCAGTCCACGTACCGAGTCCGCCAACTTCTTTTGCTTCCGACGACTATTGTCCTCAGTAAAACCTTTCTCTGTCGTCTCTTGGTGAAAGTCT